CGCCACCACTGGCAAGCTTTGTATCGGTCAGTCCATCCCTGCAGGAGGGCTTCTCCGATCTATGTTCCATCCAGAGGTTACACTGAGTCCTCATGATATCTACATGGCACCAGGCAATCAGGATGATGAGATCTTCCATCAATGTCAGCGCCATTGGATTGCAGAGGCCATTCGCTATACTCATCGGGAGGCAGTAGAGAAACTATTTACTGCGGAAGCGTGCGTCAAACCAGGCCAGATGAAACCGCGAGCCCATCTTATTGACTGGCCTGAATTCCCAGCAGTTAAACGACTGCAAGCGCAGAAGACAATTCACTACAGCCTTGGGCCAATGTTATACAACGAAGGCACGACAGAGGGGACATACAAGGTCATTCAGAATGTCTTTCTGGAGCAACTGGGGGATGATGATGATACAGACCTTGATGGGCTTTTACAACTGGTTTATGGAGATCAGAAAACAGTGTCACTCCTTCGTGCCGTCAAAAAAGAACGTGCGGAGGCTTCTCGTCTTTTCGATCGTTTCAGCTGGATATTGCCAATCCCCGGACTGTTCCACTGGCGTATGAACTACTTGGATATGATCTTTGAGCTCTATGCTGGGACAGACCACCCTACCGTTGAATCGACGATCCATCATAATAAGGTCTGTCTCGGTTGCGTACAGGGACACAAAAGTCCATTCCACCATAAAGAAGAGGTGGCTACTCGCTCATTTGACGCTCGCGTCACGGCCATGTTCTATCAGTTTGTCCCATTAACAGTCAATTTCGCGGATGCTAAAGATGTGGATGATTGGATTCAAAGCCTCGGAAGGGGTCAATTCCTGGACGTTGTGGATCAGATACGCCAGTCTCTGTTCCATTTTAAAGAGCAGCAGTCTAAGGTTCGTGAACGAGAAGGAGAACCAGTCGACTATGAGTTCTCAGCACATGCGAAATTCCTTCAGCAGATGGAGACTTACAAGTCCTTGAAGCTTGCCATCAAACTTGGTGACATTGGAATTATCCAGCGGATCTTTGCACAATGTTGTCTCCTCTTCCCTGGCACAAAGAAAACCCGATATTCTTTCCTCTCCTTGTATATGACATGGCTCACTCAAACCAAAGCAGCTGATCCCGAGCTGCAGACTGCCATTCTTGCCAACGGACTTGTGAATCTACGGGGTGCGGAGGACGGTTGGTTCGAAATTGATCGACTGAATGAGTTCTTCAATCTTCATATGAAGACACTCATGTCGACTCGACGGACCTCAAATCTGGACATCACTACCATGTTCCGTCGAACTGCTCTCACAGCCAGCTACTGTACTGATCTAAAGGAGCTTCTGGAGGCTACCTTTGGAGAATATAGCAATGGGCGACACCAAAATAAGGATGCTAGCCAGGATGTTCGTCATCTAGCTTATCAGATCTCGAAGTGCATCCAAAAGCAACCAAATGGTCGGACAAGAGGCTTTCAACCATGTGATATACTCACAGAAACAATTGGCGAAAAGCTCTTCAAAGCCGTACAGAACTTCAATAGCCTCGTCGTCAACGGACAGTGGGCACAAGAAGTTGATTTTAGCAAGATGACATCGACTCCTATTGCTGTTCTAGATGAGATTGAAGAGAATGACACATGACACTGAATAGCAGGTTGCTGCCGGGACAGCTTTAGCTATACTTCTCTTCATTCCATTGATAATACTCCCACGCTATATTATAAGGTGACTGACACACATTGATGGAATGCATCAGATGGATTGTTCATCATTCTCTACCAGACCTTAGAACCTAGGTCTTCTCCACCCTTCATCACGCGACGCCCATTTCCTGATACCACACCGAGGGCCTTGCGTTTGGGAACTGGAGTTGCCGAAGGAGGAGGCATGTCCATAAAAGCTTGGGATGGCGTGTTAATATCAACCCACGGAGAGATATTCCGAGATGGAGTTGGTTGACTGGTGCTTTCTGGCGTGACTGCAGAAGACCATGTGAGGTTGCTGCATTCACTCATTTGACTAGAGTCATTCGACACACGCTTCCTCTTTGCAGGGGTTTGAATAGTGGCCATAAAGGCTGCTTGATATGCATTCTTCAAGACATCCACAAGACCCTCAGCAAGCTGATTCGACAAAGCCCATATTCCCAATATTGTCTGAAGATCCTTTGCCTGGAAATATTCCCGCTCCGAATAGGTGGCATTTTCAATATATATCGCAAGATGGACATATTGTTCTTCTGCCAGTATGCTTGAGCAATCAGGTATGAACTTCACTCCGTTCAAAGCGCTTGAAAGGACCTCCTTGGACCAATATTTTAACTGGTTGATGATTATCTCGTCCATCTGTCCTGACCTCGGACCGTGCTCAGTATACAGATAACGAGTTGGATCATTGAGCTGATACTCAGGATTGCAGTTGCTGCAGCACCGGTCACGCCGAGGATTACATCTGAACTCTTCAGGTTCATTGAAGTAGTCCAGGAACCGTTTCCGGAGGCATTCTGTAGGCTCATTGGCAAGGAGATACCAAAATTCAGGCAACACAGCACGTCGCTCTTCATGACTTAAGCGTCCACCTTTCTGTGGTCTCTCAGGGTTTGCTTCTTTGACTTCATCATCTGAATCGGCCAGTGGGTTGTCTTCCGCTAGATCATCATTTTCTGTATGAATCTTGCGTTTCACGGCACGTTTCTTGATACGCCCCTGTATCCACTGATCAACGAGAATAACGATCTTTCCATCCTGTCCAAGGCGAGATGCCCGACCACCGCGTTGCCAGAGCGTTGCTGGTTGTAGGTTTTTGGGGAACCGATACATGACAACTTGATCAATATCCTGGAGGTCCACTCCGAGCGCTAGTGCCTCGGTGGTCATGAGGACACGAAGCTTGGATTGCGGTCCGGGTTTCTGAAGCTCTTTGATCATTGCTTCCTTGTCTCCCTTTGCGGTGTCGCTATGGTAGACCTTCACCGTATCCATTGCCTCTTTGAGGGTATAGTTGCAATGTTGAACACTTGCCCCATCTGGTTGCTTGTTATGCTGCAGCCAATACCGACAATTTTCCATGGCAGTATATGCATCATTCTTCGAGTCAAAGAATACCAATGTCTTTGGGATTCGTGACGGTCGTAAAATGGGCTGACAAGGACCATTGTCAAACAGGAAACGCAAGGCCGTTGCCTTCTTATGCGCGCCTTGTGGGATCCAAGCTGTTTGAATGAGCAACTCTGGACGATTGACGGATGTCCGCAAGATTTCAACATCCTTTGGAAACCCAAGTCCCTCAATAACAACGCGCAATGTATTCATATCAAGCGTAGCAGAGCATGCAAACCAGGGGACGCCACTGCCGAATAGACTTCGCAATTGATGCAATCGCGCATAGTCCGTTCGAAAATCTTTGCCCCATTGAGCCACAAGATGAGCTTCGTCTACAACAACCAGAGCCAGCCGGTCTCGGAAACCTGGATGCATAGCAGTTGAACGGAACTTGTCACTGATTGCAAGCTCTGGACTCACGAGGACATGTGTGAACTTGCCCGCTTGTACCCTGTCAAGAAGTTCGGATGAGAATGTTTCCCTGTTTAGGAAACAAGGTCGCCCTCCAATGTTCTCGATGTAATTGGTCTGCTCAACGCCAATTTGATTCAATGGAAGCACAACAAGGGTGATAGACTTATCAAGCAAGAGTGACACTGCTTGCAATATCATACTCTTCCCAAATGACGTCTTCGCAATCAGGATAAGGTCCTTTCTCAGGTAGATCAATTGTCTCAATGCTTGCAACTGACCCGCACGTGGATAATAGGGATACAGCTCTCGAATTGCTTGTCTGATGGCTTGGTCCTGTTCATCCTTACGCTTCTCAGACGCATCGCGAATCAGTTTCTGCGCTTGAAGAACTGAATTCTTCTCAACTTGTTGTTTCTCCAGCAAGACAGTTGCGCCCTCATTCTCGTACTCCACTCCCAATTCAATAGGCTCTCCAGCCTTTGAAGAAGGTCGATTATTCTCAGAGGCCAACCAGTTATCCAACTGTGTCTGTCCATTTCCGGGGTCGTTCAGTTTCGCGTTATATTTCCGAGGAGGCTTCCGTCGTGATGGGCGTCGATCTGGCATCGTGAGGCGGGTTTGGAGTCAATTCTCACGCGATAGAGTTAATATTGTGGATCAGATGTAGCCACTATACATTAAAATATGTCAATATATGCTTCATGGAGGTTTTGGCGGAATACTTGGGGCATATAATGGCTTTGACAGCTTAAGAAAGGGTTCCTTCGGGTATTTTAAGGACATATTTCTCACCCACCTTTCCAGTTATACATACAATTTTGGTGTCAATGGGTTCAGCTCAGAAAGATGCAGAAGACATCGTCGCCCGATTCTTAATATTCGCGTGGGTGCGCGAGAAACTTGGAAATATTAAAAGACGCGCCTGGAAACTTCGCCATATAAACACGGGCAAAAACCCCGGAAACTTGTATGGTACCACCAAATTCCCAGCTCAGACGTTCCCCAAAAAAGGTGTGTCAGCATCGCTGGAAACAGCAGGCGGTGGATGGCCAAATTCACCGCCTTTTTGGGGGCGGCTGAGGTAACTGAGGTAATAGTTAACGTTACCTTAGCTATGTTAAGAAGTCTTGGTATCAATCGAGAGATTTTAGTCTACTCAACATGGAGTAACTTAACATGGAGTAACACTTTCGATCTTTTGCATTTCTCGCTTGTCCGCTCTTTTCTGGCTCTTCTTATCCTAGATGACCGCGCGAATAGAGACGAGCCGTGGGATACCCCAAACCGACCGTTGGCTAACGGTGGCTGGAGGAGACAGTCCTTAAGCTTGTATGGCTGACTGACTGGAACGTCTCATATCGCCACCATCTTGTAATTTCATTGATATAATTAGGCGGATGTGTGCGCGATTTTCTGCTTTCTTTCATATTCAGCACGTGTGCATTGCACCACCAGTCTCACATCATATCCGAATCTGCTTCGCCCATAAGACACATTCTATGGCCAGCTCAGCACAATACAGCCGACGCTCACCAGAAACAACTGAGGCTTGGATCCTTGGAAGTGGAATTGCATCTCTAGCATCAGCAGTTTACCTGATAAAGAATGCTCATTTACGTCCTTCTGCTGTGCACGTCCTCGATGAACACCTGTCCTTGCAGCAAACATTACATCATCAAGGTACTACGCATGCAGGATATGATCAGTTCGCAGGGTGTCTCCCTGCTCCCGCTGGATCGGGGTTGACAGAGCTTCTCGATATTATTCCATCCGCAGTGACAGAAGGTCGCTCTTATCTGCATGACCTCCGAGCAGCGGAGGAACAAAATGCCATGAACAGAAACGGGGGTACCTGTTTTATCGCTCAAAATAAAGGGGCTTTCAGACACCTGCCCACGGAGTCGCTGAATATAGGGTGGAGCCACAGAATACATTTGATGCGTCTTCTTATAAAAGGAGAGAAAAGCCTGCAAAAGAGGGAGATCCGTCATTTTTTCCGAGAAAGCTTCTTTAGGAGTACATTTTGGACGATATAGTCGACACAGTGAGTAATTGCACAACCCAACGCATTGATTCACTGGTTTAACTTCGGGCAAGGTTCGGTTTTCAGCCCTGGCACAGCGCTGCAGAATTCAGGCGTGCTGTTAGGCAATATTTATCCGACTTCCACAGCTTAGGCATTTTGAGCTGTCTGGATCTCACAGGCTATTATCAATACGAGTCGATACATCTCCCTATATATTTCTTTCTCCGGAGTCAGGGCGTGGATTTTCAGTTCAACATCAAAATACGAAATGTTGAAACGACAGTCAACCAAAATCGTCGTACAATCAGTCGGCTCGCCGTTTCTCAGAACGGACTTGATTTCGGAAATGTGATAGGACCTAGCGACATCGTCATTGCTACACCGGGCTCGACTGTGTCGGGATCTGAAATTGGAACAAATGATCTCCCGCCAGCTTGCCATTCAATTGAAGCAGGAGATCACCTCGACGCAAACTGGGCACTATGGCTAGAAGCTGGGAACAAATACTCCGATCATGGCAACCCTTATACTTTCTGCACACGCAAATCCGAATCCATGTTGGAATCCTTCACTATCACAACCGAGCACATTGGATTTGTCGATTATCTTCAGTCTCTGTCACGATGCACATCTCAGGCTGGTGCAATTATTCTTATGATGAATAGTAACTGGGGTTTGAGGCTTTGCCTCCCTGTCCAGCCTGTGTTTACTCACCAGTCGCAAGACGTCTGTGTCCTCTGGGGCTTTGCGCTCTTCCCCGAAAACGAAGGCGAGCATGTCAAAAAGAACATGCTTGTCTGTTCCGGTGCCGAAATCATGTCTGAGATCTTATATTATCTGAATCCCCCTGGCGAGATGGCCACAGAAGCCCTTCAGCGTTCTATTACCATACCACGCGTGATGCCGAGGATGAGCTCAGCATTATTGACTAGATCCCTCGAAGACCGCGCTTGCATTACCCCAGAATCAGTCGTCAATATCGGCCTAGTTGGGCCATTTGTCGAGTCTCCATGGCGGACTTGTGTGGACACAAGCTATGGTGTGCACGCGGCACGGGCGGCTGTATCGCGTCTTATGGGCCTTGAAGATCTGCCCGAGGAACCTTCGCCCCCGTCAATCTGGAGGGTTTTGGTTACTCTACTGTGGAAGTGAAACTGACACCACGATAGAGGTGTCGTCCGACTTTACCCTTCCTTTACCGGGGGTCTGTGCTACCAACTTCTCCAACTTACGGTTCAGGGTGATTTAGGGGAAGAGAGCTGTAATATTCTCGATATGCCTGTGTTCTGGCCAGTAGAGAACGAATTTCTATGGTGTTATGTAGGAGAGGGAGTCCCTTGCTCTGCGGTCATCCACAGTTCAGGGTCCTCAGTGTGTCATATTTGATCTCAATAAGCCAATGTGGCCTCCCCAGAGCGCTGCTATACTGACATCCAATAAAACCCACTGCGGAGACCCGCTGCTACAGCAAGCTGATGATCCAATGAAACCAACCCTCACTGAACAGCGTCCGGCTTAACTTCGTCGTCATCACATCGACTCTCATCTGCTTCATGCACACGACGGGATCAGCTGCAACTGGGAAGCATGTCGCACTCTTCCCAAGTTTGCCAAAATCACCGAGTTTTTAGCGCATGCTAATAAAGAACACAAATATGATATCAATATTAAACTATGTCATCTCACCGAAAGGCCACCGGTTAGCCACGGTGACGGTTCTTCCAGGGAAACATCTATGGAATCAGAGAAACGGCAAGGCACTGAAACTCCCGCCTCCTCTGTCGATTTTGATATGACAAACATTGATCCTCGATTGATGAGACCCGGCCCTATCACCGTCGTGAAGCCATCAGCCTGCCCGTCAACAACCGACATTTCCGCCTCCTCTTCTGGATGCCCAGTGACGGCCACTGACTCAAATTCGGCGGATAATTCTGCACGGCGAGTGACGAGGGGAACAGCAAAGGCGGCAAATATAGAACCTGGTCCTAAGCTGGAATCTTCATCACAGCATGCGACGCGCTCGTCTCGAAAAATTCGTCGCCCAGAAGAGCAGCCTGGGGGGCAGCAGAAGGGTACAGGACGGCCAGGCCAATCGAAAGCGTCTAGTGTTAGATATACGCCACGTCGGTCAAAGCGATTACGAGCCCAGTGATTTGTGGCCTTGGGGGTGATTCTTTTTGTTCGTATATTTGGATGCAGTTCAAGAGGTTGATTGTAGACCTTATCTCGGAAGCATTTCTGGCTTAGCAATGATACTATTTCCAGACTATTGTTTACTTTACGAACAGTAACTTGCATTCTGACGGCGTCAAAGATACATATTAAGGAATGATAGTAAGACGATTGGGTCGAGTCAGGCTACGTAGTAACAATGGCCTTAGGCCCTTCTATGAAGCTCTCCCTTACCCATTCATTCCTGGCTTCGGGGCAGAAAAGAACAACTTCCATCCCTCCTGGAAGGAGCACGAGCATGAGAAGTTACCCACCTTCTTTTCTCTTTCAATGATCAAACCGGTCTTGTCTCCAACATGCGCCGGAGTTAGATGGGTCGCATTTCCCTGGTCGAAGGCTTTGGCATCATGAACACTGAGAGAGCGCAAGGACGTAGCGTTAAATCGTAGAAAGGTCTCCATAAAGGCCAGCTCCATATACATTGAGCACAGTGATAGCTCGCGTAAATTCAGACTTACGCAACACAGTAGTGCCAAAGCCATCTCACTTTCGACAAGCCGCAGGCATGGGGCGTATCCAACCAGCTCAGTGAGAGGAGTCGTCAAAGAGTCCCAATGGAAGCTCTGCCACGGAGAATCATTGCGAGGTTCGAGACAGGTGAGCTGAATGACCTTTAAAGTCAATTTGCGACTCTTGAGGGCAGCCAATAACAGCTGAATATGGTGCTCATAAGACCTCGGTTGTGTCATAAAAAACATCTCGTGGTAATACCTCTCCCAATCGTCGTGGCCCTTCGTGTCACGAAATACCAATACCAATTCTTTCAAGTTAAAGAGGAGATTAAAAGCAAGGTTCATCAAAGTTGAATCTCTTCCTGCTTCTATGATCTCTTGTTGCTCAGCACATGTCCGTCGTATCGTCTTATAAACACGCGTATATGAAGGGTGATCGCCTGGAATGTATTCCAGTTCGTCCCAGTTCTCACGACCGTACACGTCATCGTAACCTTCGCATACATCGACATAATCGTCAGGAGTGAGGATCTCTATTTTGAAAACATCATAATTTCGTATCTCTAGCTCAAGATTAGTCTTTGCTTCCATAGATGATTCGTCCCGGGATCCTTACCAGGATTTAGCAACATTGGGGCGACGTATTCAAAGGAGACGATATATCGATGCAAGTTTGATTCCAGAATACTTTCCAATAAGTCGAATCCCTTACTCGAAAATTCAATGCTGATTTTGCAAAATAGGACGGGTAAGCAGACATCCCTCATTCGCCTGCTGGTGAGTGAAAGCTGTTTGATTTCTCGATTGTCAAGACACTTCACAATGCCGAAGAGGGTTTCGGTAGGCAGCAGCTCCATACTATTGAATCCAATGAGTCTCAGCCGTACCAGATTATTTCAAGAGGGTAAGGAGGTGATGCTTGAGATGCAAACGAAGTGGGCTCCGTGGCCTTTATAAGGTAAGTACATCGTGGTCGATGATTGGCTTCCAAGGAGATGACTAATCATGCTATTCTCAATCGGACGCGTCGGTGGGGGCATTAACGAAACCAAAAGTGTATCGCAGGGCTTGTATCACCTGAAATACTTACTATAAACGCCTACCCTTGAGAACCTCTTTCATGAGACATAAATTTAAAGTTGACACAACTCTACCGGCGCAGTATTTGGTCCTCTTTGACGTCTCCGATACTACGCTGTCCAATTTTGGAAATCCTACCCTGGGGTGTTTTGAGGCCCCTAAAGATATAGAAACAGTGTCTCCCGGCCTGCGTGGTTCACGGAGAGGAAAAAGACGACCAGATAAATCGAAAGCATCCAATATCCAACCTTCTCCCTGTCGATCAATGCGGTTACGAGCTCGGTGATTTGTGGAATTGGGTTCTCGTCATTTTGTTCGTATATTCGGTTGCAATGCAGAATGTCTCAATATACCGTTCTACTTTCAAAAGTCCCCCTGACTAAACAATGAAATTTCGTTTCCCTACTTAGAACAAGCTACACTCAGCAACATAGGGATCCAATAGCGATCAAGGGTAAGCACTAGAAATGACGAAAAGGCAATTGGGACAGGTAAAGTCACGTATCACCTAATCAACCATAGTAACAATGGCTTTAGGCTCTTCTATGAGGCTCTGTGTTTCCTTTTCCTAGCATTTGGAACAGAAACAATGCCGCTGTCATTAAAGGACAAATTCCACCCTCCTTGGAGTGAGCACGAACATGAGAGTTTATCAAGCCTCTGTCCTTTTTCAATTGTCAAACCGATTATGTGACCAACATGTAGTGGGGTTAAAGGGGTAAGCCTTCCCTTGTCACTGACTTCGACATTATGAACACCGAGAGATCGCAAGGACTGAGCGTTACATTGTAGGAAGCCCTCTATGAAGGGCAGCTTCATGTAAATTGAGCACAATGTTAGCTCACGTACGTTCAGACTTATGCGACACAATAATGCCAAAGGCAAGGCACTTTCGACAAGCCGTAGGCCCGGGGCGTGTCCCACAAGCTCAGTGAGAGGAATCGTTAGCGAGTCCCAGCTTCCCGACGGAGAGTCATCGGGAGGGTCAAGACAGGTGATCTCAATAGCCTTTAAGGTTATGCTGCAACCCTTGAGAGCAGCCAAGACCAGTTTGATGTGGTGCTCATAAGACCTCTGCTGTGTCATATCATACACCTGTTGGTAATCGGTCTCCCAATCCTCGTCGTCCCGTCTTTGACGAAATACCAATATCAGTTCTTTCAAGTTAGAGAGCAGATTGAAAGCAAGGCTCATCAGGGTCAAACCCCTTCCTGTTTCTATGATCTCTTGCTCCTCGGCACATGTCCGTCGTAGTGTCTTATAGACACGTGTGTATGAAGGAAGATCGCCCGAGAGGTATTCCATTTCATCCCAGTCCTCACTGTTCACGTCATCATAACTCTCGCATGTTTCGACATATGCTTGAGGACTTAGGATTTGTGTTTTGAAAAACTCATAATTTCGTATCTCTAATTTGACGTCAGGTCATTTCCCACGGATGATTCTCTCAGGGACACTTACCAGGCTTTAGTAACATTGGGGCGACGTACTCGAAGGAGACGATATACCGATGCAAGTTTGATTCCAGAATGCTTTCCAACAAGTCAAACCCCTCATTCGAAAATTCAATGCTGAGCTTGCGAAATAGAGTGGGTAAGCAGACGTCCCTCACTCGCCTACTGGAAAGGGAAAGCTGTTTGACATCCCAATTGTCGAGGTACTTCACGATGCCGAAGAGGATTTCGGTAGGAAGCAATTCCATATTGTTCAACCGGTCGATTTCAGCCCGTATTAGAATCTTTCTGAAGAGTCGGGTGTGATGCTCGAGAACAGAAGGAAAGCGGGCCGTGTGGCCTTTGTATAGGCGAGGCTCTCTATATCGGGTCGATGATTGGCTTCCAGGGAGATGACTAAACGTAGTATCCCCAATTGCAACAACAGAACAAAATGGATGTCGTGGGCCTTATGCCGAAAATAACATGGTGACCTGACCAGGACCAGGCTATCTGACACTGCAAACTTGACTTCCACGAGCATGGTTCTTTGCTTAGAATAATTGGCCCCGGTATAGTATGTGTATTGAGAGGCAAGAGCGCCTGTGGACTTCACATGTACCCCCGCGAATCGTAAATGGGAAAACAGAAGAAACAAAGTCCAATGCCGTAGCCACGCCCGAAAACATTTGTACTCCTAAGGAAAACCCAGCCATACATGATCGCACTTTGACGTGCCGCCTCCATCCGGTATCATTACTTCTAGTCGCCGTTGGGCGCACTCTCTCCCTCAACGTCGGCAACATCCCGTAGAATATCCTTGAGACCGCGGACGCCTTCATCTGCCACCGCTTCAGGTATCCGGACATCAACTTCTTCAATGTACTTCAGAGGGTCGTAGGGGGGATTCTCTTTGCTGCCTTTCTTGGTACCGTTCGTGCCGTTTGTTGTT